ATGATGTTGAGTACCTATTGAAAATGTTGTTATAATTATTTAGTGAATATTTCTTCTATAAATGGCTATTTTTTCGTTAGTTGAAAACTACTGGAAATTTTCAATGTCTCAAAAGCGCAAACTAGATTCACTTTACTGTGAAAAGTTAAAAATCGAAGCATCATTAATACTACTTACCGTGTACATATAGATTATAGACACAGAAACAAAAACCCATAATTGTAAAAACAGTACACATTCATCGCTTCACTCAAAAAATAAAATTATACGACGTGTCCATGCTTTCTAGGTATTATGGCATTTATATAATATTATTATATAGGTACTCATCTACTATCACTCAATTATACAGGTTTTCTATAAATTATGGCTATTTATTTGTAATACCTACCTGTTTAATTTTTTTTTTTTTTAATATGATATGAATGCAAATTTGTATGAAAAATTAAATTAAATTTTTACGTTTTTAAAAGCGGATATTTTAATGAATTTTAGTACTAAAAATCCCTGGGCCCTGCTAATAAATAACAAAGTACAATTATATAAATCATTATAAGTAGGTATAGTCAATAATACATTATACATATAGATACTCACCTAATTTGTATTTGTATTTTATTTTCTCGATGCATATAAAGTATATAATATATGCACTACCTATATATAAATAATATGTTGATCTGACAATTATTGTTATTAAATTATTTTCAACAAAAATTTGAATGTTCATTATAGTTACTTTTCTACAYGAATATATTAATCATAAAACAAAAAATAATTGTAACCAAGTTATAATTTAATTACGAGTGAATTCATTGTAGAAACCTTACTAAAAGAAAATCACTGAATTGTTTAAAAACGGCGCAACTCTATAAAATGACAACTCTCTATAAGTACTTAGGTAGATATTAGTACTATATGTGGGCATTTAATTAAAAGCTATAGTAATTAATCAAATATATATATATATATTACTTAACTATTCAATAAACTGCTTAAAAAGTTGACATAATTATATAAATGTATAACATTTAGGATTTCTTATCATGTATTGCGGTCGACCTAGAATATAATGAGGTCTATAAATATATAAATTACCTGTGTTAATTATTATGCATATTATAATATAATATATATAATGAATAATGATAATACGAAAGTTATGATGAATATTTAATAGTTTGTTTAAAATATTTTGAAATTAATATATGTAATATATTTACAAAAATGTATAAAATCTTATAAGATTTCTTTCAAAACACATAAAAAAATTTAAATAATTATAGGTACACCAATTGTATCCATGTAAAACACAAAGTACCACTTCAACTATTATACTCGTAGGTATGTATACATATACACGCAGGTGTCCATCATATTATAATAGTATATACATTGTAATTATATAAGTTACGTTTTTACGTACCTGGGTCGAGAGCACAGCAGTTATTACTAGTATGATACCGAATGGAGTCATTGTGAAGTTTGACAGTGAATAGTATAGTGCAACGATTTAAGTACGCATCGGTTCAGCAGTGTTTTTATATCTAGGCACGGATATCTTACAAATTATATCAGTTATTCAGTTATTATCAGTGATACGATTGTGTGTTACCGGATTTCATTGTCATATTACAATTATTACACTATACCACAATGACCGTTCTAAACGGCGCCGACCACTAATTTAACCAAGGACTTAGGAGGAATGATGTATATAAATTATAAATAAATAAATATATATATATATATATAGGTACACTGCAGTATTTATATATGGTGTTAATGGTTGTATACAAATATATGTATAAATTCATTATTTCGTGAGTTGATCAATTTGTTTTCGAGCATCGTTACACGTCAGTATATAACCATCATGCAAGTAGGTCGTTTGTCTGGTTTTACGTGTAAATATAGAGAAAAAAAAACAATATTCACGCTCTATAATACAACGCCGCAAATCTATAATATGCTGACGTAGATGTTTTTTTTCGCACAATATTGTTTACATGTGTGATTGCATGTGTTCACTGTTCAGTCGAGAGTGTATTTATCGAATTTTTAGAGCGTAAAAAAATAATATTGTTATAATTTTACGACATTCTTACAAATCTTCAAATATTGTACATAATATAAATATTTGTGTATGCATACCAACTTCAAAAAATAATATGCAGTGCCTATATAAATCTGGATAATTTATCAATGTCTAGTGATGTATATATATATATATATATGTATGCATATATAATATGATCTGTACAGTCTAAGATGAGACTAGAAAAAATATCAACAAATTCAATAACGGTGCTACATACGCGTTTTATATATTGACAGTTACTGAACCGTACCTATACTGAAATTTAAAGACATATATTTTTTACACACTGCAAGCTTACGTTKAAAATTTTTTACGCGTCTTCCGATTCGGAAGGACAACATTCTACGCATCGCGACGTTATTATTTCGAAATTATATACATGGCTATATGTAATTGTAGTACCTATCTAATTGACAGAGATATACCTCGTAATTTATATCAGATATTAATTGTATATGTATTGCTCATATATCATATTAACCTGGTTTATAAATAAAGATAAATAATATAATTAATCAACGACACCGAACTTGTCCTTCGCATGCCAGTCCATTACCTATGAATTTATGCCTAAATTCCAAACAATTTCTACTGACACTGATCAACCACAAAACTTCGTATGGAGCATACCTATATACGGTTAAAACATTCTAATTAATAGTTTTTAATTATATTAATGCGCATCATGCACCTTTAATACATAAAATACATTTCATATTGAATCCAGAATAACATAAGTGCCTACATAATATAAATATAATCGTTTCTATTTTTTTTCAATATTTCTTGTATCTGTAAACTTTGTAATATAAAAAAAAAACTTTACTATACATATAAGYTTACCTTACACAATCCAGTCCTCGTTTTCATAACTATTAATTAGCGTGAAATATAATGTGTACAATAAGTTTCGACTAAATATTATTAACCTACTGGCAAGACCAGCAGTCCTGCAATAAGTTTTTTATTCAAGTACCTACTTGTGTAAAATTGTATTATGTCAACGGTGTACCCCATACTAATGTACTTCATTATAAGATAATATTATTGACATTAATGTTGTACAATTTAAAAATAAAATTTCTGACATTATTAAGTATTAATATATTGTATTATAAGCTGGTTGATTAAAAACATAATGTGTAAATTGTCTTTATTATGAAAGCACGTAGATACATTTCGAAATAGTTATATTCCAAAATATGTTATCAAAACTCTTATAAACAAGACTTTAATATGTTTATCTCGTCCTGGAAAATACTTGTAGAAAAACGCATTTCAAATTGCACTATTTTTATTTTATTAAATGATAATTCGAATGTTATGACTATACATAAACTGAGATACCTACGATAAGTGTACCTCCGTCCTCCACTAAAAGTAGGTATGATAGGTATAAAAAACAACATTGATAAACGAGTATAGTAAGCGTAGACAATGTTCCAAACGCATAATACTGCAATATAGAAAATGCGTTTAAGTACTCTATAGTACGTAGGTATACACTTAGCGACCTATATCCCGATCCAGTCACGGTGTATAATCGATATAGATCGTCGAACGATTTACTTGATATAATACGTATATAACTAATATACCAATCGATAAACCAATTATTATTATTATTATTATTGTTATAATGTTATGATTATTACGTACATTAGACGGTCATAATAATGATAATAAATTATAATAATCAAGTCCAGATCCGTGATCGAAAGTACGACGAGTGTTGGGGGTCTGATAATTATTATAGTTATTACACTCGAATACATATGTCTGCAGTACACGAAAAAAGTTATTCGTCAAGCATTTGTGGAGTTTTGGCTATACGCGGCTTATATATATGTACCTACATAGTACCTATATAGTATTCTATAAGAGGAGGTTACAACACTCACACACGCACGCGCGTACGAKCACGCCGTATATAATATGTGTATATGATGGTGTATAATAGTTTTATATCGATGACACACAAACACACTAGCAAGCACAAAACGGACATCGATCAATATACATTTGTCCGTGTATTTCGTGTTTTATAAGGGACGACTGCATACTATAATACACGAGTACCACGACCCTCACCCCACACACACACACACACACACACACACACACACACACACACATTACACGTCATATACAGGGTAAACGCCTTCCGGCCTTCAGTAAAATCCGCCTAAAAACCATATTATAATAATGTATATATATATATATATTATGCGAACAACTGTCGGAGGGGGGTCTTGATCCTCTGTGTACTGTGTGCGGTGTGCATAGTGTACGAAATTATATTATAGGCGAAGGGGACACAGAGAAATTCGTTGTTTACGCACCGCCGTATCCTTGACTACTCACGCCCTCTCACTCGCACTAACTCCACTCCGCTCGCCKTGGCCAAACTCCTCTCCTACGCGTGCATTGTCCGACACACTGCACTGACGTCACATGCATGCGAATATACATAACATAATATATATAGTACGTTATTATCAAATACCGCCGCCAGTACAACAGATGACAATCGCATCCCCACCGCACCACGAACACCCCGCGATCATGGCCCATCCACAATGCATTATTATTGCCAMTATTATTATTATTATTATTAAATACGCCTACTGCCCCCCATAGAATAGTTCTCTTCGTGTCTGACGCGTCTCTTTCAMCCGTTGACCACTAAGCAAAAATCATAATATTATTATAATAATAACCGTAAAATAATATAACATGAATTGTGTTACTTTATATTGTATTGTGAATACTTTATATACTGTGCAGAAAAATTATGCATTACACAAAACAAACACCAATGATTTTTCTGCGATTTCCCATCGTCGTATACACGCCATTAAACGGGAAGAAGATTTTCGTTTCATGTTGGTAAATAAAATGCAGGCACATCAATAGGCGCGTCATCTATAGATATAATATATTATTATTATTATTTACTTTATATAGTGTACTTCACTACAACGGTCTCCAATCGCCTCGCGCGTAACGTTAAATATATTAAATATATGTATAATATAGTCAATAATATACAATGTAGGGTGATTATATTTATAGTTTTCTCTCGCAAGACCGCCGTTAGTTGTTACACCTATATATTTAATATATACGTATATAATACCGTGTTTGTTCATTTTTGTTTATTACATTCTATCCGACTATTTGTGGTATGAGTATATAACATATATAGTACAATCATTGTATATCGTTAATTAAAACTCGTCCCCGTGGGCTGTCTGAAGAAGAATTTTACATATAATATGTAACATTAATTGTCTATACTTCACCTCAGCACTATATAGATATGATAAACGCCGTCTTGAAATAATATATATATATATATATATAATGTTATGTTGTATAATATGTAAGTGTATAGGAAACCCGAAAACCTGTTCGCGGCACGTTGATTTTGACGATCGGTTGGCCCATACCAACTCGGGTGGGTGTAGAGTTATGCGAGTGTAATATATTAGGTATATGCAATGTACATAGTATAGTGCGGTATGTAGGTACCTATACATACCTACAGTCATATATATTTTGTATAAGTATAAATAAAATGTTAAAAAAAAACCGTATGCCATGTGGGCCGTATGCACGTGCAACAGTGTTATATAATATTATGGTATGTTTTTATTTGCAGCGTCCTTTTATAAATTCGGTACAATTTGTACACAAATCACTTCATATTGATATATATTTCTTATATATATAATATACCTAAATATAATATATTTTTTACTTTACATATTTTAATAATTAAAATATCGCATATTTTAACTACTAAAACAAAAAATATACATGTTTTATGTGATATATTTACTATTATAGACTTCACATTATGTTACTATCAATTTCATAAAATTAGAGGATTCGTCTTAGACGAAAACATCTTTTAAATATTATCGATTGACAATTGTGTATAATTACCTAAAGACTTAAAGACWAACAAAAATAACAAAAAAGTTTGTTGTAAAATCATAAGATCCTTCTGTTTCAATTAATAATAATTAATAAAATATCAGTTAATTCACTATGAATATTTTATTATATTTTTATTCCATATTTTATCGAAATTAAATGCATATTATTTACCTAATTTGTATTAGTTATTTATAAATATTAGGTCTATTTATATGTCTTTTCGGTGTATTATATTTAATATTTATATACCTATATACCTGATAATTATTTTAACTTATGCAGAGCTGTATTTAAGATTTTGACACTCGAGGTACATATAAAATGCCACCCCTCTTTAAGGGACGGTGGGAAGGGTCCAGTGTTTAAAAATAAAAACCGTATACCATTGTTTTATGTATAACACAGTTACATAAAAYAGAAATAAAAGGTTTTAACAATATTGTAC